GCAAGAAATTTCTCGTAGTTACGTTATGCAGTCCAAGAGTATTGCCAGCTGAATTTAAAATTTTCAAACTGATTTATTTTAAATAATTCAAATATATTGTTTTAACTAAATCTACTTAAAATAAATAGATTGTACAAAAACCATTGAAATTTACAGAGAAAACTTTCGAAGTGTGACTGCAATTTGAGAATAAATACTGAAAATATTTTATTTATTTATTGAATTTTTCTTAACCATGCACATAGAAAAATGCATATATTTATATATAAATAATTATAAAGCTCTTTATTTCGTACTACAACTTGACGCGTGATAGCATTTAGATTTTGATAAAATTTGTAGCCATGGAGAAAAAAATACTGGAAACTAACTTCATCATGGATATTAGATGCTCATCTGCCAATTGGGCTTTTTTTCCCTCAACATATTAATGTTCAGCTGCTAAAAGCACTGTTCACGTATATATTGTTGCGTTTTTCTTTTCTTCTGACACCAGTTGCGTTATTTTCTTTCTTCTTCACGTTACGTACGAGGTTCGTAGATGTAGAGTGAATAACGACGACACTTGATGAAGTATTGAAACACACTTTATTTAGCCAATATTAATCAGGACAGCTCCAATAACATTTTTTACAGTCGTCGAAGATCTACTATAAACAGGCTGGCACAATCAGCGACACAGCCTTCCCACTGTCAGGCAATAACGGTGGAGACAGCTTCCTGCAAAGCACCCGACTCTGCTTTCCGGAGTTCAACTCTGCTTGGTCATTCTCAGAACTCAACGTACTCTCGAGACTCTCCACGCAAAGTAGCATACTTCTTCACTTCTGACTGAACTCTTAAGTGTAACGTAAATTTGAGCCTGTTTTCCTCAGGAAGTCCTCCAAGAATACATCACTCCTCTTAAGCAAATAGTCTTGCCATATTCAAATCATCTAACTAACCTAGCCGACTGAATCGCAAATTGCGAAATCTCTGGCTAATATACATCATTATTGGCAGCATTTTACTGCTTTGGCAGTTTATCTTTTGGCATTGCACCGGATGCCTAGGAAATATGCAAAATATTAATCGCTTCATATTTTGATGCCAAATTTTCGGCATTTAATAATACTGACTAGATTTTTTATGCAATTTATGATTTCATGCATTAGCGCTAACATATATATTAAATATGTACTAGCCAAAAATTTAGTCCTAAACAGAAAAGATTTTTTTTATTCCACTGAAAAGTAGCAGTTATTATCTTCATCATTATGTCTCTATCATTTTCCACAAATTGAGGAACTAATAAATTAAAGCTATTTTTATTAAATTCTCTATTTGCTATTTCCGTAGCTTTGTCTTGTTATAAAAAAAATTAGAGTTCAAATCAGTTAAAAATTCCTCACTGTGTTGCTCTATGCCACATTCTTTAAGCACATTCAAGGAGACTTTTTAAATTTTTGTTATATAAATTTTGCACCTGCTTTGCTAATTTTTTGAATTATTCAACTATCACTATTATTTAAAATTCATGAATAAAATTTTGTATTCTATGTATGGCATGTGGTTCAATGAATATTTTCCACAAAATATCTAGTCGTTTTGTGAACACACTTCCGGAAGTTTGGTTTGGTTTATAGTTTATTAAATTACGGCAAAGCTCTCGAGGGCTCTTTGAGTACGAGGAGGGGTGCCTTCTTGGAAGACTTTCTAAGAAAAACTAACTCGTATCTACATTACACTTAGGAAAATCAAAAATGCACGCAGCCGCAGAGAGCACCGTTTACCTAAAATCGAACCCAAATGAAACTCCTGTTGCGTTTTTCTTTCTTCTGACACCAGTTGTTGCGCTATTTTTTTCTTTCACGTTCGTATGGGATTTGTATGGATTTGGAGTGAATAACGACGACACTTGATGAAGTATCGAAACACATTTTATTTGTCAATATTAATCAGGACAGCTCCAAAACACATTTACAGTCGTCAAAAATCTACTATAAACACACTGGAACAATCAGCGACACAGCCTTCACACTGTCAGGTAATAACGGGGGAGACAGCTTCCTGCAAAGCACTCGACTCTGCTTTCCGGAGTACAGCTCCCAACTTTGGTTGGTCGTTCTCGGAACTCCACGTACTCTCGAGACTCTCCACGCTACAACTCGCGATGCACTCGACGACACACGAGCACATATCCCTACTCTTCGGTCCAGTTGTTCCCAGAACTCAACACGCTCTCTCGATGACGCAGTAACCACAATACACTAACAGACTTCTTCGGTGCACTCGACGACACACTCGGCACTCGCTGCCCAGCTGTCAACTCGATCGACTCCGCAGGGATTGACTCGCTAGACGAGACACACACACCAACTGCGGACCAGCAGGGTTTATATAGCTTTCGACTTGTGTTCGGGAACATTTTGGGCTAAACCGGCAAGAATTCGTTCCAGAAGGTTCTCCAACCGTCCATGGTATATCGCCAATTTTGTCGCCAAATGGGCGATTTCTCGCCAAATGTGGAAACTGCCTTTCCTTGCCATTTTATGGCAACCCCAAAACTGCTTTGCGTGGTAGCCATCTTACCGCACCTTTACATTTCGTAACAATGTATTCCCAAACAGTCATTATTCTGATTGCAAAAATTCTTAACTGTAATAATTCTCTTGTTGCAAAAATTCACAGATTTTTTGACAAATATGAATATAAATTAATGAAATGTATATCTTTGAATAAGATTTGTATCACCATGCTAAACTGAAGAATAAAATGACGTCTTCCATATACATGACAAACATTTATTTAAGCTATGAAGACGTTGAACAGCAGAGTAGAAACATGATATTACACAGCGCTTAGCACTTCTCACTTACATGCGATACTCACCATTGACTTTGGCTAACTGGGTAGAAAAGTATTACGCAGCAGAGAACTTGCTTATCATGCACATGCGCTAGGGGAATCAACGGCGGTTGCCAACATACCCCCTTTCAACGTCGATTCTCCTATTCCTGAAAAGTAAAACAAAATACAATCCTATAATTGTACAACCTTTTGATGTTTAACAGGAGACAGGGGTTTGGTTAACACATCAGCTCCCATTTCACTGGTAGGTATGTACTGCACATCCAATTCACCGCGTTCATATACTTCACACACAAAATGATTGCGAATGTCTATGTGCTTTGTACGGAAGTGAAACACTGAGTTCTTTGTAATTTTCTGAGCTCCTTGATTGTCGCAGTATATTGTTGTTGGGTTTTCTATGTTATAACCCAGCTCTTTCAGGAAACAACGTAGGTAGATTGTTTCTTTGGCGGCTTCAGACAGAGCCATATACTCCGCCGCCATTGAAAATAGAGCTACATTGCGTTGTTTTCAGGATTCCCAGGTTATGACTGAATCACTTAATATATGTACAAAACCTGTGTAGGACTTTCGATCATCGACATTTGATGCCTAATCCTGTATCCACAAAGTCGATGAGTGGTTTTCCGGTTTTCGTATAAATTAGTTCTTGATCTTGGGTTCCCTTTAGATATTGAAATATTCTTTTCGCAGCATGCCAATGTTCTTTTCCGGGATTGTTGTTAAACTGACTGAAGAAATTCACGGCGTATGTGATATCTGGCTTAGTAGCTACTGAAAGGTATGTTAGAACAACTTTTACTTCATCATCTCACCACTAGATGGCTGCACTATGCAAGAAGCAGTTATTCGAAGATGGCTCGCCTGCTAGCTTGAAATTGTAACAAATTAATAATAAATTATAAAATAATGATTAATGGTAAAGGAAAAATCCTGGTTAATTGTAACATTCCAAACTAATTTGTAAAGTAATTTTTTTTTTTGGTATCTTTTCTAATTGTTTATTAATTTTTCACTCTGTATTTTTAACTGAGTTCAACTGTAACTTTAAACTGTGAGAGAGTTTGTCTGTCTCTCTCAGTTAGGAGCCATGTGTTGGACTGTGCGTGTGGAGCATGTGTAAAAATAAAACTCTTGCATTATTTCAATTTAGTTCTGCTGATTTGTTTTAATGTAGCAGGATCTTTATTAATATATGCCCGAACATTTGGTGACCCTAGTGTGCAGGACACTGCAATGTGCTTAATCTTAATGCATCCACATAATTTCCAGAGTAGAAGAGACTTTCTGCTATTTTAGTGTTTCCGGACAATGTGTTAAACATTCCAGAACAAGTATCTTGTGATTATTGATTTTCTTTTGAGTGTTATGAATGTTTTTTCGGATATAAGAAAGTGAAGCACAAAAATGCCTGATACGAATAGTCATGGCAGTGATGTGCAGCTGGAAGCAAGCAAAGTGAGCGTAAAGATTCCCCCATTCTGGATTGATGGACCAGAGATGTGGTTCTATACTGTTGAAGCCCAATTTAAAATTGCAGGAATTACGTCAGAAGAAACCAAGTTTAACTACTTAGTGGCTCAGCTGGATCCTAAGTTTGTTGAAAACATATGGGACATTATCAAAAGATGAAACTGGCAACTAAATATTCAGCAGCAAAAGAAAGGCTAACAAACTTATTTAAAGAGAGTGAAAATAAGCGCATCAAAAGATTATTGACTGGTTTAGAACTTGGCGATATGAAGCCAAGTCAACTACTCTGCGAAAGATGAGAAACGCTTGGTGATAATAACGATGTGTCTGTAAAGTGTTACGTACTCTGTGGATGGAAAAGTTGCCTTGACGCAGTCAAAAATATCCTTATAGTCAATGATGAGAGTCTCGAAAAATTAGCCACAATGGCTGATAAAATTGCTGAAATGGGTCCACGCATGGAACTTGCAAGTGCAAGTAATGATTCCCCTCCATGTTAACGAACTTCTCACAAAAATATCTGCTTTGGAACAACAAAAAGCTTCGTTCAGTGTACAATGTTCCAAATCACGAATTCATAGTTCCAGCCACAGCCATAGGAGTCGCAGCATATCTCAGAAACGGTAAATCCAAAAGGGAAACTGTGTTATTTCCACTTTAAATTTGGAAAAAAAATGTTTTCCGGAAAAGTGTACTCCACCTTGCAGCTGGAAACAGACGGAAAACTCCAGCCAGCAGTAGATTCGGCGGCTAGCTCTGCTGCTAAACACATGAATAGCCGTAAGTTCCGGTTATTTGTAACGGATAGAAATTCAGGACTAAAGTTCTTAGTGGACAGTGGAGCAGATGTATCATTGCTGCCAGCAAATTCTACAACAAAGGGATCTTGTGAGTACAAATTATATGCTGCTAATGGGACAGAAATACCAACTTTTGGTATAAAGGTGCTTACTTTAGATTTAGGACTGAGACGCCCATTTCAATGGCCGTTCATCGTTGCCAAGGTAAGCAAAGGCATATTAGGTGCAGATTTTTTGAATCAATTTCATTTATTAATTGATATAAAAAAGAAACAGTTAATCGATGGCATTACTCAACTTAAAGTCTCAAGTGATATAATGTCAATTGGTGTTGATCATGTTATATCTACCTTAAATAATTCTTTCAAATTTGTTGAACTGCTACGTCAGTACCCAAATATCACTAAACCTAATGTGCTAAATAAACAAACAAAGCATAATGTTAAACACTATATTTGTACAAAAGGCCAACCTGTATATGCACGTGCACGACAGCTAGATGCAAAGAAACTGAAACTGGCAAAGCAAGAATTCAAGTTTATGCTTGATAACAATATTATCCGACCATCAAAATCCCAGTGGGCCAGTCCTTCTACATTTAGTAAACAAAAAAGACGGAACACTTAAACCTTGTGAGGATTATAGACTACTAAATGCTCAGACAGGTACCAAACAGGTATACCATAGGACACGATAGATTTTAATCTTCATTTTGAGTGGGAAATCCATTTTCTCCAAATTTAGATCTCCTTAAAAGCTTATTACCAAATCCCAATTGCAGAATGAGGATAAGCCCAAAACAGCTATCATTACACCATTTGGGTTATTCGAGTTTAATGTCATGAGTTTTGGACTTAGGAATGCACCATCAACGTTTCAGCGTTTTGTGCATGAAGTAATTCCAAGGCCTTGATTTTGTGTTCCCTTACTTGGATGATGTATTAATAGCCTCATCATCAGGAGCATAGTAAACACCTAAAACTACTGTTTGAAAGATTAAGACAAATATGGTTTATGCATCAATATATCCAAAATCAATGTTTGGAGTTGGAAGGAATAGAATTTCTAGGATATCTCATAAATGCTTGCAGGTTCAAGGACCTCTCCCTGCAAAAGTGCAGGCAATTTTGAATTACAAATTGCCAACAACAATTCATGATTTACGTACTTTCCTAGGTATGGTAAATTTCTACCGCAGATATCTTAAAAATGCAGCAGAAACACAAGCCATTCTTCACGAGATGCTCAAAGGTGCTAAGAAAAAGGATAAACGAAAAGTCCCATGGACAGAGGAAGTAAAATTGCAGTTCGAAAAGTGCAAAACAGATTTGGCTAACACTGCTGTTGCGCCTGCGCGCGCATTTCATTACTAACGTCGGCGCATGCGTCTTGAGCTCTTGAAGTTTGTGACATGAGATTGTGAGCTAAGAGCGTGTGAGAGAATTCGTGGCTTCGAGTGTCCATGAACTATGTAAATTAATGAGAATTAAAGTGAGATATAATACTGTCCATTGTTCCTGAGTTTATTGAATTATAGTGTAGTGCCTGTGCAAAACATCGTGGTCCGTCATGGGCCAGAGATCTATGGATTGTGAGTTATTTAGAAGTAACAAGTAAGTCAGCAGTTTCGATTTAAGAATAAAGTGCCATTTTATTATTTTGAGATACTGTGTAAGAGTTTTGAGAAAATTTATAGTATTTATATACTGTGTTTAAGTAATTGAGAAGAATTACTTATTATCTTGTATTATTTCATTAAGAGTATAATGTTGATAAAAGGTGCACTTAAAGAGGATTTAAAGCTATTGGCTTTAGAACTGAATATAGAATTAAGTGAAAAGATAACTGTTACAGATTTAAATTTAGCGATTAAAAGTAGTGAAGCTTTAAAATCCGATCCAAATTCGGTAATAGAGTTGGGTAATTCCATAGTAGAGCATCGTAAATCTGAAGAAGCTAAAGTATTACAGTTAGAACAAATTAAATTAGAGAGATGTAAAACAGAACTGGAAATTGCTCGATTGCGAGCTGAAACCAAAAGTGTTAATAATGATCAAAACGAAACTAAATGGAGAAGAAAAGTTCCGATTCCTTAGATTCCCTTATTAAAAGTATAAGAACACTAACATTGAAGGTTCCGAGTAAACCTGAAAACTGGAGTTATTTTTTCTCGTCTTTAGAAAGAGCTTTCGCGACAAAAAATGTGCCTGAGAAAATCTAAAGCGGAAATATTGTTAAACTTGTTAGGGGAACGGGCTTCGAACATTATCGTGTATATTAGAGATGAGGAGCTAAGTGACTATGAAAAAGTAAAAGCTATTATTCTAAAAGAATTCGAACCTACACCACAAATTGTTTTAGAAAATTTTAAAAAGGCTCAACGCCTAAATGAGTCCCATGTGCAGTTCGTGTTCGCGATTAACCACAAATTTTCGAATATTACTTAAAATTGAAGGAAAGTGTCTGATTTTGAAACTCTGAAGCAGTTAATAATATCAGACAAATTGTTTGAAGACATTAGATCGAGAAACGTCAGCCCATATTTTCTGTAAGGCAAGCTGAAAGTTGGTTTCCGCCTCAACAAATGGCAAAGGAAGCAGATTTATTTTTCACATCTCGCGGAAAGTCCCTTGCCGCAAGTGTGCACAGTTTTCAAAAATCTCGCAGCAATTGCAAAACGTCGAAAAATGTTTCAAAGGTATTCCTTGCCGATGTAAAAGGTTTAAAGTGTGTTCTTTGTGAGGAAAATCATTTTTTGGCAAAATGCCCAAATTTCTTGAAACAACCGGTGAATGATCGGGTTGAAATCATCAAAAGTCATAAATTATGCTTTAATTGCCTAGCATTAAACCATTCCGTCAAAAACTGCAAATCAAAGTTTTCGTGTTCCGTTTGTGGGAAAAGACACCACATGACACTGCATTTTCCAGTAGAAAATAAATCATCGAAAGAGAAGGAAAAAAATAAAAACGAAACAGCGAGTAGTTCCAGTGTGCTTTCCCCCCTAGCGCCAGACTTTCTGCCTAACAGCGGTAATACTCTACTTACAGCGACTAGTGTAAACAGATCCAAAAAAGTGTTCTTCTGAGCACGGCTATTTGCTTTATTAGTGATGGTATGGGTAAGCTACATCCAGTCAAAACATTACTTGATGGCGGCAGTACTTCATCGTTTATAAGCAGAGACTGTGCGAATAAATTCAACTTTGATTCTGAGAAGGTAAACATTGCAATTGCTGGATTAAATGATTCCTTGTTTACAATTCAAAAAAGAGTTTTGGCATGCATTAGCAATTAAAGATAAAAGTTACATGAGACATTTAGACTTATTAGTAGTACCAAAAATCACTCAAGACTTGATTCCTTCAAGGAAAATTGATATTAAAATGCAGGATTTTTGTAACATAAAATTAGCTGATGAGAATTTTAATGTTCCAGAACGTATAGAGATGCTTTTAGGAGCTGAGGTTTTCTTTGAGATATTAAAATCTGAACAAATTCGCTATGAAAACTCGAGTCTTTTTTTTACAAAACAGCGTGTTCGGGTTTATAGTGTCGGGAAGCGTTACATCAGAAGAACAGAGCCGCGTACATTGTGGGTTAATGAAAACATCTAATGACTTAGAACAAACAATGAGAAAATTTTGGGAAATAGAGAATGTTGAAATAGCCATTCCAAAAAAAAAGAAGAAACAGCAATATGTGAAGAACATTATGTGCAAACTCATAAGCGGAATGAAGAAGGGAGATACATTGTAACAATGCCACTAAAGGAAGATCCTATTTGCTTAGGAAATTCAAAGATTTGCCCTTGAGAGATTAAATTCCCTATGGAAAAGATTAGTTAAAGACCCTGAATATTTGAGTCTGTATCAGGATTTTTTAAAGGAGTATGAAGAGCTAGGGCATATGACTGAGGTTGAAGAGAAAAATGAGCCTAGTAGGGTAGTGTACTATGCCACATCATGGGATATACCGACCTCAAAAAAAAACAACAACTAAATTGAGAACAGTGTTTAATGCATCATGTTTAACATCAAATGGAATTTCGCTAAATTCTTTACAACGTAATGGAGGGGTTATTCAAGATGATCTCTTTTCAATCATGCTTAGATTTAGAAAGTACCCATTCGCATTTACGGCGGATATTAGAAGAATGTATAGAATGATTAAAATTAACCCTGAACAGAGATGCTTGCAGCGAATCCTGTGGAAAAAAGAAAATGATGCACCTGTGAAAATCTACGAGCTTAATACTGTGACTTACGGTACAGTTAGTGCGCCATACTTAGCTATGAGAACTCTTAAACAATTGTCGATTGATGAAGGTCCAAAATTTCCATTAGCTGCGCCAGTCTTACTTAAAAACTTTTATATGGATGATGTGCTTAGTGGAGCGGAATCTTTGAGTACAGCTAAGGAGCTTAAATCTCAGTTAACTGCAATACTGAAGAGTGCAGGAATGACACTGCACAAGTGGTGCAGTAATCATGCTGAACTTGCGGAAGAAGATCACTCCTATTCCTTTCCTAATGAAGCAGAATCTACAACACTTGGAGTGTCTTGGAGGTCTAGAAGAGACTGTTTCTGTTTTAGAGTGAAACTCGATAATGACATAGTTGTTACCAAACGACAGATATTGTCCACAATTGCAAGATTGTTTGACCCGATTGGTTTACTAGGGCCAATCATAAGTAAAGCCAAAATATTCCTCCAACGGTTGTGGTTGTTAAAGCTGAATTGGGATGAATCACTACCAAAAAAAGGAAGCTGATGAATGGAAGAAGTTCTCTACTGAACTGGAAGTTTTAAGTAAAATAGAAATTGAAAGGTTTATTCTTATTGCAGAAGTAGACTATGTGGAACTTCATGGATTTGCAGATGCCTCTGAGGTAGCATACGGAGCAACCATATATTGCAAGTGCCGTTCGAGAGATGGAGAAGTGAAGACAAGGCTAGTGACGAGTAAATCCAGAGTCTCGCCTATTAAACGAGTTACTATTCCGAGACTGGAGCTTTGTGCGGCAGTCCTACTTGCAAGGTTGATGGTTAGAGTAATATCTGCATTAGAGATTTCTGTGAACAACGTTTATCTGTGGAGTGACTCCATGATCGTGCTTTCATGGATACAAAAGGAGCCTTACCAGTTGAAGACATTTGTTGCAAATCGAGTGGCAACAATTCAAGAGTTGACTAATGGTCATCAATGGCGTCATGTGTCATCAAAGGAGAATCCGAGTGACCTTATATCCCGAGGTTTGGATCCCAGTAAACTTCTACAAAATGATATGTGGTGGAAAGGCCCTCTGTTCCTGAGATACGACGACTACCCAAATAGAGAGATTCCGGTGGAAGTCATTGTGAAGGACTTTCCAGACGAACTTAAAATCCTTAGTGACTCTAATATTTTTCTTAATGTGAAAGCTAACCCTTTCATTGAGGATTTCTTAAATTTAAGTAACAATTACACTAAAATTATTCGTGTTTTAAGTTTTATTTTTAGGTTTGTAAACAACTGCAAGGGGAAGGACAAGGTTTCAGGTCCTCTTCAGAGCTCAGAATTAAAATTAGCTGAACTTAAACTGATTAAGCTAATTCAAGATAGTGAATTTAAAAAAGAAATCTCAA